TTTTTAATTAAACTTAAAAAATTTAAGTTTTATATTGAGCCAAAAAGCGTTCGGAGACTTTTGGCGGGGGTCTGTATATATCTATCACCTTGCAGGTAAAAAATTTTGTCTTCATGCCCATAACATCTGATGGTTACATATGAATAGTCATCTGAGTAAAGAATATGCCAGAAGTTTCGTTTTAATCCCATTACTTTTTTAGAATGATGTAGGAAGTCGAGAATTGCACATTTTTTTTAATGGATTTCATCATACTTGTCATTTTCATAAAACCGCCTCATGCTCCTCTAAACCGTCACCCTCAAGTGTAAGCTCTATTCCCCAATAAATTTTACCATTAACTAATAGTCCAGATAACCAACTGAGCCAAACACATAATTTACATTGGCACTTATTGATATTCCAGGGGGAGAATACAGAGAATGCAGATCTGTACCATTCATTCTGCCAACTTGTTTCATACAGCGTGATTTTAAACCTCTTCCAAATGATTCCGACAAAACAGAACGACTCTTACGCTTAATGCTTCGAATTAAAACTCATCAAATTCTAATGTTGTAGGATTCTTTTTTCTAAACTTTTTTGGTTAGAATTGATCATAGAATTATTAAAAAAAAATAGGAGCGGTAAATTTTGGCCGTATCCCTTACGAAGAAACCTATCTTAAGAAATTTCTTGATAATACTATTTTCACAGTCAAAATTAACGAGAATTCTATTTCGGATACTATATATCATATCACGAATTAATTCACTTTCCCTAGCACTAGTATTACCATTTGATTAAAGTATGGTTAAGTTGCAGTTATCAAGGTTACGAATAATTGCTTTATAAGATAGTTGTAATTCCAGCTTATAAATATCCTTAATGTCAGTATTAGTAAAAAGAAAATGCTCCTTGCAACTTTCCCATTGAATAATTCCGCAAGTGTAATCGTTAAGTAGGGCTCGAAAAAAACCTGCACATGATGCATTATAATGAACTGAACATAGATTTCACAATGCTGGGCCTCAAATTCATCAGGATGTTTTTTTATATATTCTCTAATCACCAAGATGGGAATCAGTTCTGCTATTTGTATTGAAATGGCATCCATTTGAAGCGCGTTTAGATCTTCTAGATGTTCAAAACTGCAAAGCTGAGAAAACCCATATTGAACCATTTCGGCACCTTCATCTCCTTTCACTAATTTTGTATAATGAGAAAGCATGCTACGAATCATAATATCTGCAATTTGCTCCATACTTCTTTCTTCTTACGTAAATAAAGAAAACATGATTCAATAAAGGTTGTAATTATGAAATCCTTCGTTTTACATTGCCAATTCTCCACACTTTCATTCACATTACTCTGGGATATTGAAGATGTATTTGATAGAGCATGTTCCAGTAACTGGACTACAAATCATCATCGACCCTGAAAAATATTGATGCTTTTTATTAGCTCATCATCTAGTGGTAAAAATGCTGAATAAGCTTGCTCATCTCACTACATTTGTAAAATCCATCATGTATACTGAAAAAATTCTTGAATGTGGAACCACCAGATTTAGCAATAGCAGAGGCAGCATGAATCTTGATATCGTTAAAACTCATTCCTGTTCCTGATAGTATAAGACATAACTTCTCTACATTGAGATTGAGGACTTTCCGAAGTAAGATAGCAAAGAATGGTCGTAGTGTACCATTAGCAAGAGTCATAGAAAAATTTTCTCAAACATCCTGATAGCTGTCTGTGATACATCAATTGCAATTGGTAACTTCTCTTTCTGAGGGGCCAAAATTTTGAATTTCTTGATAAATGTAATGACAAGTTCATCTTGATCTTATAGATTTAACCTGCGAAAACACGTGAAATTGGAACCCAGAAGTCTTCTCCACTGATTTGCCTTGGTAAGAGTGGTATTAGAAGCCATTACTTTGGTGTAAAATTGCTATTTTAATCATGACTATGGGACTCTAAAAGGTTGATTAAAATGAATAATCGGCCAAGTAGCATAACACGAGTGAAGCTAAGTGCTGTAAAGTTTTTTTTTTCAGGATTGTTGGCAGTTATTATTGACCTAAATCAGAGATAACAATTCCATGTCCTAAGATCCTAAGATTTTGGACCATTTCCGGCAATCAATGAGAGGTAGATTCCATATGTTTTACAAAGTAGCTCATATAAAGAACGGGTTATTCCAGATATAGAACCAAAAAAAAAAATGAAAAAAAGAAGTCTTTCACTTGCCTTGCCCAAAACTTCATTTAAGCCATCTTTCTTACCCGGACGTGCCCATTAAGAAGAGCCAAGAATTTTTCATAACCTTGTCAAATAGCGCAGAAAGCATTTCTTCATGAGTTAGTCTTCATGACCATTATTGTCAATGTCCGATAGTGAATGCAAAGTGGAACAAAGGGTTATTATTAATTGCAGAAATTCTGATGCATTAATAGTCTCCTCACATATGTGGTAGTAATTCTAATTTTCCAGTTCGATTTTCTTAAACAGTTTGTCTTTCAACTCTATCCGGTGAGTTTTAGCATTTCTCAATACTTTCCTTGATGTTTGATGGGGAAATTCGATATTTCGTTTCTACAAATTTTTTGTTCGAGAGATAAACCATTGGAAACACTTACCAGTGGGAGAGAGTACTGCGATGATGATATGAACATTATCATGTGGAGGTTTATAACTAGTTGGAAAATTATCCTCAGCTCGAAACATTGTCAACGGTCCCATATTCTTGCCATTAAGTTTATCTATATCCTTTTCGGTAAAACACCTTTAAGCTCTTCTAAAGATTCATAGTATCATAACTATTAAGTTTTTTCGTACGCTGAATAAGCATTTTGAGATCTGAGACAGTGGCTTCGCTAATATCGATTTCAACATTATTATCATCCTTGAGTTTATCGCCAACATTAACCTTGATAATATCATCAAAAGTGTCGCCTATAAGTAAACAATTAAACGGCACCATTTTAAAGATATTTCTGAGAAGAGGCAGTAAAATAAAGTTTCAGTTTGGAGAGAATTTTTGTAAAAGCTTATAAAAGTTTGAGGGTATATATACTTTTCTGAATACATCGTGACTAATAAGATAAACTCTTTATAGAGTGACTTGTTATGACGAAATACAATAGATACTTTGAAAAATTAATATGCATAGTAATAAAAAGATAATTTATCAAGGTTTTATCATCTCCGATTCTCGGGGTATTTAGTGAATTATTTCTTCGGTCGTACGATTGACAAATGTTAAATTTTCCGATTGATGCAATATTTGGCCTATAAAACAATAAACAGAAAATGCAATGAAAGTGATAGTGATTCTGAAATAATGGTGATATTGAAAATGAAACTGAAGATAAGAATTAATTACCTTAAATTTTACTTTTACTTTCAGAAACAAAACTCGTTTATATAATATACCGAAATCTTATGAAAATTTTACCATCTTATGATGATAAAACGTTTTAAAAAAAAAATTAAAAATGCCGTTTTTCAATTAATTGATAAATTTAAAATATAATTGGTATTATTGATGGGATTCATTTAATTTTAAATGATAAAATATCTAATTCTAAAAGCATATTTTATTTAAACTTTATTCAATACTAGAATTTTTATTATTTACGATATAGAATTAGTACATATGCAAAGTTCATAAAAACTCAAGATTTATAAATGAAAAATAAATTAATAACAATTATTTATTAAAGATTCTACATATTTATTTTATTATTTTTAATAATTCCTTTATTTATTATCAAAAAAAAATTTAATTTAATATGTTTCTCATATAAATTTGTAGTAGAAAATGTTTTTAAAAGATCAAAAGGTTATTTTATTTAACAGTTTGAACTTTAATTTTTATTGCTAATTGTGCTACTATTTTTCATAATTTTTTAAAAAAATAAAAAATATTTAGAATTTAAATTCAGATTTTAAATTTAAGAGATAATAAAAATTAAATATAATAATTTTAATATTAATAAATTAAATTAATAAAAGAAATAATATAATATTTAATTATTAATATTATTTTAAATAAGCTTTTTATTAATTATTATATATTTAAATTTCATTTAAAGTTTGAATTAAAATTAGGTTGATATGTTATCTAATCTAATCTAAAAAATCAGGTTAAATTAATAGATTTTTAAATTAATATTAGATCAAATCAATTAATCAAATGGGTATTTTGCAGCAGTATTTAGAAATAACCTAATTATTTATCATTTAAAGATTACTTAATCCTTTGTCATAATTCTAATTTTTTAATATTTGTCATTTCATAATAACCTAATTTCTAATTATCAAATAATCATATATTATTTAACTATCATTTTAATCCTTTGTCATTTAATCATTTGATAATATACTCAATTTATTTAATACAGATTATTCTAAGGTTAGCCTATTTAATGCTAATACTACATGCTAATTAAAGATGAATATATACTAATTACTGATATTATTTAATTATAATTAGCATTTATACAATGTATAAAAAAAGTTTTCAAAATCATATTTTAATTTATTATACTCTTAAAATAAATATATATTCTTTATTATTATAGAAAAATGTTGTTTAAGCTTAATTAATAGCTTATCTTATTACTATTACCTTAATTACTTATTATGACATACTATTAATTAAATTAATAAATATTTCAGGTTCAATTCCTTCCTACTTTTTTTAAATTATATTAAGAAAAACATCTATATTTATTGATATTTTTACCTATAATATATTAACCTGTTTCTTTACACTCCTCTTTAAAATTGCCTATAAATTTTTAATTGGATTGAGATTCAAACTTTATAATGATTAATCTAACAATCTCAGATACTATTCTTCAATATTAGATTTATAATTTTTACGAAAATGGTATATAAGTTTATATATTTAATTCCAAACTTACCATTCTTACTATATATAAAATATAAGCTACGTAATAATATAAAATTTTATTGCTGATCATATATAGTAATACTACGCAAATTATTAAAATTTTCTATACTGAATTTTAAGATCAATTTTATTTAATTCTTTTTTTTCAACTTAAGTTAAACAAACCTTGAAATTTAGAGATAAATTTCTATTATAAGAAAAAAGAATATAAATATTTTTTTTTAAAAAATAACTAATGCTTATCTTTATGTAAATTTTGTTTATAGTATATTAAATAAAAGTTTTCTAAAGTAAATTTTACATATAATAATCTTATTTATAAAATATTTAAAATTATTCTATTTATTATTGAATAAATCAATTATATATTAATATAAAAAAATATATATAAATTATATTTTATAACTTTATTTATTTAAATAAATACATATTATTAAAGGATTAAAATTTAACAGAATTTTAAAATGCAAAGTTAAATTATTTTATTTATACTTGATATTTATTAAAATATATTTATAAAGACCATTAATTAAAAAAAAATAATGTAATATTAAATATTAAATATTAAAATTATGAAGTTTTTTTTTAAATAAAATAAATTATATATTAGAAAATTTATTATTAAATGATCTCTGATCTATTATTTAATTTCAAAGTTTTAGAATAGTTACTTAGATAAATGAATATAAGTATTTTAATTATATAAAAAATTAATACCTTCTTAATATAATATAGAATTAGATAATAAAAGTATTATAAATTTATAGCATAATATTTTATTATGTTAATAATCTTTTTCATAAAATAATCTAATTTAATCTATACTTATTTATTAAAAAAATAAAATTTTTGTAAATATCAATTTAGTTCTCTTTCTTAATATTCATCTTAAATATAAAATATTGAAAATTTAAATTTAAAATCTGATTTTTAAAATTCTATAAAATAAACAATTTTTATTACTTTTAAAGTTAGGTATGTATAAAAATTTTTAAATAAAAAATAGAAAATAAATCTTTTTATAAATTGTAATTTAACTTTATTTTAATATAAGCTTTTATGTATTTTTAAAATATATTTTATTATTATTTAAACTACTTTATAATATATATTTATAAATAAAATTAAATTTAATTAAAAATTTATTAAATATTAAAAATTTTATATTTTTAAATTATTTTAATATATAGACATTTTGCAATAGAAAAAGAGAAAACTAATAAAAAAATTTTTTTAAGTTAATATTAAATCTGAATATATTTTATTAAAAAATAATATTTATTTTATAAAATAAAAAAATTTTTTAATAGTTTTCTTTCTTTTTACTGCAAATTACCTATATTATGATTTAATTTCAATCATATATAATTTAACAAAAAGTTTTAATATGATTGTTTTAATTTATATTTTTATAATCTATTTTTATAAAATATTTGTATTTTAAATTTTCATTTTAATTAAAGTTTTAACTAGAATAAATAAAAATATAATTATTCAATATAAAAAAAAATAAGATATTTTTTTTTTTTATTCTTTAGTATAATATAATAATATAAGCTTTATGTAAAAAGAGAGAAAATTAATAAAAAAATTTTTTTTGAGTTAATATTAAATCTAAATTTATTAAACTTAATAATTTTTTTTTTATTATTTGAAGTATTAACTTCTATAATTCTGCTTAATAAATTAAGTAGTTAAATGTTAAATTTTCACATTTATATAAATAAAAAAGTTTTAATTATTTTGAAATAAATAATAAAATATAATATTTTTTTTAATAATAAAGATAAATTTAAA